TGGCCCAACAAAATTCGTTTGCTTTATGTACGGCAATGTTGAGTAAAATGGGGCTTTTCATAGCATCATCAGAGGGACAAAAACTGCTCATGTGTAGCAGGTGTTCAGAAAACAAGATGCGAGAAGGGTGCAGGTGTGTTTGACCGGAAAAAGGAATCAGCGAAAAAAATTATAATGATTTTGCGCAGCGCGAACTCCGAGAAATGAGACGAATGCTTTTGACTTACACTTCGGACTAACAGGGGAAAAGAAGCTGCTCGTAGTCAGTGGTTAATTCGTCCTTAAGCTATATTTTTATCTGTCGATCCTATAGACATCTTTCTTTTCTATGCGCACGGCAGGCTATTTGTTTTCGTTTTCAAAAGCATGAGGGCACTGGTAGTCATGCGAAGGAATGGGGCGAGAAAGAAGCAAAAGTATGTCTCTGCGTGATTCGGCAGCTCCACATATTCCACAAGAATAAGAAAAGAAACTTTCACAGCCAAAAAGCTCGGGTTCTTTGTAACGTCTGATTCTAGTGACGTAATTTTGAGTTTACCTTCGTCGTTGTTTTGAGCCAGAGCCGCAACTAGTAGCAAAACAATGAATAACATTGTCAGTTTCGAGGGCCGCTTGAGAAATGGGTGCTTTAACCAAACAATTGTGTCACAAGATCATTCAAGAACCAGCGAGCCCCAAAATAAGCGCTGCGGACGTTCGGAGATTCGAAAAGAAATCTCGTTTTCGTACCCCACCAAATATTCATGATAGACCGTTAAAATCGCCGTCAAATTGCAGGTTTGGAAGAACACCATAGAAAGGCACAGAACTTGGGAGATATTGCTAGAGATCTTTTCTGATTACTGAAACCATTCCACGATTTTGTGACATCTAAGGAAGTACTTATAACTTGGCCAACACACTGAGCGTACTTAACATAGAAAACATGATTTATTAGTATGGGTACGAAATGACTCGACTGACTATGACACGACTGGTAACCAAGTGTCGCAAGATCATAATGCTGTCAAAAGACTTTCACCTGGAGATTTCTAACTTTCAAGACCCGAAAAGCTGTTAGTTGGCAACGAAATTTTGAGTAACAAACGGATAAAAATATTTTATCCTCACTGTTCCTCACACTTCGTCATAGGTTCGCTCGCCTGTAAGGCGCAAAATAAATGACGCCAAAATATGCCGTTTGCCACGCAAGGCATCAAACGTCAGACGAGAGTAAACTAAATGGAAAGGTCAATTTACGCTGGCCGCGCGCTTATATCCCGCGCAAAATTTTAATGGAAGACAATGGAACAACTAGTGGTACGCAAAAGTTCCAAATGAGTGAAACATTTTGTGCATCAGTCAATTGAAATCCTGACCTCTCTGCCCCTGGGAGGCGCTGAGGTTTACGTGACTGATGGATTAACGAGGTGAAATGAAACAAAGGAAGGAAGAGGGAAAAACTTAAGACTTTCTGAACACAAAGCTGATTGATTTACCGTACGCTGTTGATTTTAAATAATATTTTAAAATTCATCACAATAATTGCTAACATTTGTCATTAATTTTCAAATTACTCCATGTGTGACACCTCGTCTAGTTGGCTTTCAACATTCGCACATACGCGAACTTGAAATCGTTCACAACAGTAGCAGTATTAGTAGGACGATTCCGTGATCCAAGGAGGATACTGCATGTGGATGCAGCTACTTATTTTAAAAAAACCGCAGCAACAACAACAACAAAAAAAAACACAAAACAAAACAATATAAGTGGAATAAACTTAGGGTAAAACGTTCAAATGACATTCATAGCAGGTTGACCGGTTTGTGGATTGTGTTCAACAGCGCCTAATAAGATTTTGATGAGTATGAAATTTACCTTTTGGTGTTTTTAAGTTAGCACGAGTATTTAATCTTGATTAATCATATATATAAAGCATTGATTGTTTTTGATCAGAAGAACCACCTATTTCAAAAGCCCCATATGTTTGCTGAAAAATACTAACCCGACCTCCTGACACATACTAGTGTTGCCTTCCTATATAATTTGGACGAAATATCTGCACTCACACCAATATCTTGTTTTCAGGCAATATTCAGATTTTTGGACGCACGCAATAACTTTGTTAAAAGCGATTAAGAACTCTGTCTTGCTCTCAGGGTTTCCTATAATCTTAATTTTCCTCCCATTGGTCCACCGACTAATTACTGAAGAATATTTTATTCTGATTGGTTGAATAACTCTCCGCAGTTCTCACACTATCATTAGAGCAAAAGTCAAGCGCGTATCGCAAAAGAACTCATTAATAGTTGTCTGCTCACGCAGCAAGTAAACCTCCGACTGTCGCGGAAAATAATACCAATCAGGTGAACTTAGAAATCATGAGTTTGACACATTTCCTTCTCCTAGCAGTCCTTGATTTTGTAGGAGTTTACTTTAACATGCGGATGCTAACATACTGCTTCAAAGACAAAACGAAATACAAGTTTCTTCAAAACTGTAGAGGATTGTCCATTTTCCAGTGTGCTTGCCAGTTTGTGATTGTGATCACTGGAGCAGTTGATTCGTGGCGGATTTTCAACGATCGTAGTTACAATCCAGGACAACCGTGTGATGTTGTCAAACTGTTTTCGATTTCTTTCACGTTCGTTCAGGCCTGCAACTTGACAGCGATTCTGTGCATTGATTCTGAACATCCACTGGTCACATTTCGACACCAAGACAGATGTTCAAAACTGAAAATAGCAGCAGCAGTGACTCTTGGGTTGATTGGCTCCTCAATGATTTGGTGGTTTAGTTGTTTTCCTCATTATTATATTTCAGTAACGGTATTCATCACCGTCCGATTTATTTTCATTGCGTCGTTCATCATTCTGTTGTTGGCTGCGGGTTTCAAATATCTCAAAGACGACTTCGAGGACACTACTTCAAAAGTTTTTATAGACTGCGAGGTGCTGTGGAACATTTGCAAGGAAAACAAACGGCCCACTTTATTTATAGCTACGTTACTTCTGTGCTTGGTGATGGTTCTCAGCGGCTTTCTTCTCGATCGAGAAAAACATGCATTGATGGTCACAAATTCTGAAATTATTTACGATTTCATCATGAGGTTTGTTGTGGGAATTATTTTGCCTGTTACATTCAGTGACTTAATTGAACAGTCCAGCTTTGACGATGAAAAGGCTGTGGAAACCATGATTGTTTAAACGAACTCCTTCGGCTAACTGAGAGGGAGTCGCGAACTGTTTGGGACTGGGGGGATCTAGTTTTATCTTTTTATTTTCAAATCATAACTCGGTTCTCGGTTCTTTTTCCCGCACGCGATCAACGAAAACAATGATATTGTGATATTTTAAAGTATTCAAAAGTATAATAGAAGCACCAGTGGTCTGATACCATAAGTATTGAATGGCACGCAAATTAATACTCTAGTCAGCAACTTATCTTTGTCACGCAATCCAGTTCTGCTACTCCTCAAAGCTTTAAAGAATCTAACTTCATTAAAGTAATTTGATATTATCAACTGAGTTGATAAAGTAAATTGGCCGCCGTGAAGATTTTCAAAGCTGACGCTTCGCGTGATTCGCTCTGACAAAGGGCTAATGTCAGCTTTGAAACTTCAGTTATGGTGGCCAATAACAACAAATTACCTTGATACTCTCCCAACGACGCAGCATCACAGTTTATTCATTCGCCTTCATTAAAGATCTGATGAATACAGAAAGATTAAAGAAAAAGTTTTGATAAAAATGAAGACAACACTAAATTTTTTCATGAAGCTTTTGAGACGCATTTTAAAGTATTTAGTGACATATCAATATATTTCTTCGCTTCTACGAAAAGAAAAGGTCATTGTAACAAGTGTTTATACATGTCACCAATACCACAAAACAAAGGACTTTGACGGCGCACATTGTATAAAAGAATGGTTTATTACATCGTTCCGACTCACTTTTTCGTATTAAGCGTTTTTGAAAAGTCCCACGTCATTCAAAAGAGTAGTCTTTATTTTATGCGTCTTTCAGACTTCCGGATGCAAGCAAAAACAGTTCACAATTAAGCGAAAATATAGACAAATTTTAACCTTTAGTCTAAGAAACAATTAACGATAAAAAAAACTTTTTCTGGGTATTACAATGGAAAGATATTAACCGTTAGCATTAAATTAACCGAAAATTAACTGTTAGCCGCAAAAACCAAGACCCCTTTAAACACCAACTGGCTTGTTAGTCTTTGTTTTGCCTTCACTTGAAACAGTTCAGCAGAATTTTTACTTTCACGAAGGTTCCTGCCAAATGGAAGTTCAAGATTCTTGCGAAGGACAGATAAGTAAAACATGATTTGTAAATTTCATGTGAATAAAGATCTCCTACCGAACTTTGCTTTTTAATGGTTGTAATTGATGTCGCGTCTCAAGTGGCTCACCACTTGGAAAGTGAATCTCAGAATTAAAATATATATTTTTCTTTTTGTATAGAAAAATGTGACTTCAGGAATCGTCTTGAGCGTTTGAACTAGTGATATCTGCGACATGGGACTGGAATGCCTTTCTGTTAATAATGTTCAGCATATTATCCTTCACTTCCTACCCGCTTCGGAAGATTTTTTCTCTTTCGACTGATCCTTGTGTGCTACTGCTACTCAGCTCACGTTTTTCCCGCGAAAAGGAAAAGGAAACGATTGTTACGGAAGCCTAAGAGAGTATTGAAACATATTATGACGAATTACGAATTTGCAACAGGCAATATTATAAAGAAAAACTCAATCAATATTCTTATCAAAGAAAGAGAAAGACTGAAACGACATTCACAGACTTATCACGTGGTTCCGCAGAGTGATATATCTTATAAGTCGTTTTAACGCGTGGTATCACTGAATATTTTTAAGAGTTGTACCGTATTACTTTTGACGAGCCCGTAAGGTGAGTCAAAATATAAACAACGAGTAAAAATACTCAGCAATACTACACACATAAACGATTGATGAGCTAGTTATTTATTATCCAACTCTTGATTTTATGCGCATTTCTAACAAGGGGGAATTAATAGCAACTGTGCAATATCATACGATATTTGTTCTCGACTCGCTCTTTTTTTATACACTACTTAGTACAGTTGGACAATAATAACAATATTAGTCACCGTGGATCTAACAACATTGGCAACAATATTTTCAAAGAAATTCTAAACTTAGCACTATTAGTATTACAAATCGACGATTTCCCTTTTTATAATCTAATTACCCAGATGTTAGCCCAAATGATATCTTCACTCAAATTTCTACTTTCCAAAAACTATCGAATATAGTGCCTCTGACGTCAACCCTATCGACATTCTTTGAGGAAATAGAAGTAAAGAAGAATATCATGACATAGTGAGAGTCAATGAAATGTAAATAAGAGGCCGTGTGTTTCTTTACTTTCCAAAAAAAGAAAAACTCCTAAATAAAGATCGAGTGAATCTATCTGGCTATTAAGCGATGGTCTACTTCAGTTTCTGCAACTAATGGCGAAGTTACCTTTTAAATTGATGCAGGCACAATTGATATGGTGGCTTTGTCTTTCTTTCCGGCATAGTTTGAATCAATCAAATCATACAGGGTTACCAGTAAAACTGTTCCCACACAGAATTTTATAATCAGTAGATAAACAATTCCGTCGAACGACGTTTCTCTTTTCAAATCCCGATCCCACAAAGCTGTTTCGAAACGAGCGCGGGCCACTTCGCTGAAAATCAGCACCAAACATACCGTAAACAAAACGATGAAGAATAAGGACTTCTTGCTTTCTTTCCAGGCTTTCCACGACCATGACGAAAAACGCGACTTCGTCGAGGCGTCTGATTTTAATGAGGTGACTTCCTTGTTGTATTCAGCATCGTTTTTATCCAAGGCTACGGAAAGCAGGTAGAAGATAAGAAACATGGTTAAAATCAATTCAACTTCTACTACGGCTTGAGAAATAGACGTTTGTGAGAAGCAACCGTGCCATAAGAAAATTGCGGAACCGATGAATCCCAGAAGAAGCACTGCGTATACCAAAAGGTAAGAAAATGATCTCCGTTTTTCGTGTCCTACGGGATGTTCATAGTACACTGTCATGATTGCCGTCAGGTTACAAGTTTGGAAAAACATCATTGAAAGGGAAAGAACTCTTAAAACATTACAGGACTCTGTAGGTTGAATGCGGAAACCTTTCCACCACTCTGCGGTATCTGCGCCAAGAATTGAAACTTGGCAAGCGGCCTGAAGACTTGCTAATATCCGGCACTTTTGAATAAACTTCTGCTTTGTTTTGTCTTTAAAGCAGCTTAGTAATAGACGTCCGTTGAAAAAGACTGCGGCTACATCCAGAATGGATATCAAAAGAAAAGGTGACACGGTTGAGGACATGATGCGAGAGCGACGTCTTCCTCTCCTCAGTACGTGGCTGAAATAAACTGTATTGGCTTGTTCCTTGAGAGCACACTCCTATCTTAACAGCATCGGGGAGGGCCAGGAGAGATCTGTACAAATATGATAAATGAGCGGTTACCTGATCATTATGCTAGGTTATGTTGCGCTCCTGATTTGTCGAAAACGAACGTATAAATAGGTTGCGGGGTTTTGAAATTCACGACACTTCATGAAAAGTGTGAGCTGCCATGGTCTTAACCCTTTACCTCGCATGAGTGACCAATGTTGAGAGTAAAAATTTACTCTAACACTCGTTGTCTTGTCGTCTCTTTCTATATTCCTTATTACTACACTAGTTATTATAACGGGGACTAGCTCTGATCTCTCAAGGAAAGTGGGGGTCACCGCTTATAAAGGTGACACTTACGGAGCGGTCAATCTCTAGCCTTCGTCATACTTTTACACTTAAATAGCGAATCACGTTGGGCCACGCAGAACGGAGTTCGCATACTAAGTATATACCTTCGTGATGTTGACGCTTTAGGAAATGTCTTTTTTTATTTCTACGCGCTAGTCGTATAAGTTATCTAATTACAAATTCAGTGCGGAAGATGAAAAGTACTACATGTTTACAGCTCAAGTCACCTCTAAGAAAAAGAGGTGTCACACGAGTTAAATTAAAAGCTGAAAACTATTTTCCTGATCGGGAATTCTACATGGATTTAGTCTAAAAACGAGAGTATTAAATGGATAAAAGTATAAAGGAGAGATATTTCCAGGAAATTCCTATACGGGATCAATTTTTATAGGGTAGAGTCATTTTCTTCGTAATTAATCATTATGAAAATATACCGATATCTAGCCACAAACCGCAGTTTACGCAAAAACATCTGTCTCTATGTCAAATTCACGATCGTAATAAGGAAAAGGTAACCAAACTCTACCTGTAAGGTAAGACCGCCAAAAGGGATAAGAAATGATCAACTAGCCTATTACAATGTTTACTGAATGGCTTATGCAAATACCGTGACAAATGACCGTTCGAAAGCTGCACTCAAATGAGATAAAAAAACGCGAATTAGCAATTTTTTCAGAACAATTCGGCAAAATAATTTCGCATGCAAAAGCACGATGCACGGTTCTAAACAAAAGCTGCTGCCCTGATTAACGAAAAAAATCAGTCTACCAACCACTCTCGCCCCGAGGAATTTGACGAGTTATTCTGATTGAGGTTTTTGGTAAGCGAAAGCCCAAATTTGCCGATACAGTCGTGAAAATGGCGCACTTGTGTTATTGATGGTCCTGTTCACTTCATTAATTCAAAGCAAAAATCTGATCTACAAATAAAAGTTTACCTATTCCTATTTCCTTGCCTGCTCTGGCAAAGGGTTAACGCTCAAAATGTAAACTTTAGAAACCCTTTGGCGGCCAAACTGCAGAATACCCGGCCACTTTGGTCCGCGTCACTTACATGTGTCGGGAGGCTTTGAAGATCGAGGCATAACACAATAGACGCTATTCTTATTCAATGATCAGCTCAGATGATAAAACCACATTGTAGGAGTTTACCTGTTGTCGGGGCAAGCACTTTCTTTGGCAGGAACCTTCTAAGAGATGTATGTTCAAAGCGCACATGGCGGCAGTGGTCGGCAAGTGTAACGGTAAAAGTTCCGAACACATTATGAATTCCGTTCTTGGATAGAGAAAACAACGACAAAAACATTACATTGCCATTGGGAAAACAGATTTGTTTAAAAATAGTATGGGGCTGTGTGGAAATTTTACCAGTGCAACTTTTTATCAAAGCCATCAGCGATATTTTTAGCAAGAATGCATAGGCAAATACTGTATTTCCAATTTAGCGATATTCTTCTTGATTGTGTCTGAGCTTGTGCTTCTGTCAGTCAGCATGTGAAAACCAAATAATTACTGACCCTCATAAAATCCTATTGTTCTCTCTCAGCATTATATCGGCGATTTCAGCCTGAGAAAGTATTCAGCCTCAGCTGCCTGCATTATACCCAATAATGCTGCGAACCTCAGTAATTATCTATTAACAAATTACGTTTGCATGAAATTCAATCACACACCTGAAAGATGTGGAAAGTTACATAATCTTTACAAGGATTTAACAATGACTAAATTCCGGGAAATGAAAAGGGTTATGTAATTTGTATAACTACTAGACAATACGTGCTAATTGCATTGTTGGAGAGAGAAAATAGTAGGATTTCATGAGAGTCAATGATTATATCATCTTTGCAAGTAGTTAACAATGGCTGAATTGGGGAATGAAAAAGGATTATGCAATTTGTATTATTACTGGACAATGCTTGCCAGTTGCATTGTTGGTGTACCAAAACATCAATATGAAGGGGCGACTGAAATCGTCGATGTAAGGCAGAGAGAGAACAATAGGATTTTATGAGGGTCAATAATTATAATAGTTAATTACTGAGGTTCGCAGCATTATTGGGTATAATGCTGCGAACCTCAGTAATTATCTATTAAATAGTACATGGGCGTCACGCAACGTTGCCCTTCGTGAACGTAACGCGTTGTTCGACAACGATATAATCTTTTCGGTCATCCAAACCAAACCAATTATCATTAACTAACTCATAATCTATTTATCTCCCATCAAAGAAGGCTCGTCATCAAGACTGCAGTTTTACTTTCGACAATTTAATGGCATGAATTGGTATGATTACGAGTCTCCGATACATCGATTATCTATCACGTCTCCGAGCAGTGCTGTTTTTATACTAACTGGATAGTAACTTTGCTCTTCACTGTTTTCTGCATTTTTTTTTTCTGAAAAACAAGACCGAAGTTTGTAAGGCTTTAGGAAAGAGTGTCAATGAGGGTAATTTAATTCAAAAATACTTATGGGATCACAGGCGGCCCGAGCTCCAGCTGTGAGATGATCATCTTGCGCAATAACAGTCATAGCGGAATTATTAGAGTTTGTATGGGAATATTTACGATCGCTTTAACGAATTAAAAAAAGGGGCCAAATTCTCAATAAAAATAGCTTACCTTTCTTCCACAGCGTATCACTTGTTATCTGACCGCTTACTTTGATGAAAAGAACCCCTTTTAGCGAGTTGTCCCTTTCGAGGTTTTCCACGTACATAACAAAGGCCTTCTTATGTACGTTGTATCCTTGACACTTCTAAGAAACAACTCTATCAGATTCTTCAAAGCTCGTCTTGAGAAGGTCACATGCCCAAAAATCCTAAGTTACAACGCAAGGGCGAACATCGCGATCGATGAAGGTTTTTCAATCAGATATCAGTCTGAGCTCGATCCGAAAGCAAGCAGAACGTGACTCTATTGGAGCGCTGGTGAAATTTCACCACAGCCGCATCAAGAGACTTACAACAAAGTTAAAGAAACTAGAGTAAGCAAAAACTAGAGAGGTACATGTAACTGAAATTTCAAAGAACGTAGAATCAGAGGACATAGTGTAGGCGCAAGAATTTGTATTATTATGTTTTTGTTGTTTTTTCATAGTTTGGTGTTAAGTGTTTTGTTTCTCGTCTTCATAAGTGTCCTTTGTCAGTTGCCAGTTTTGTAATTGTTATATTTATTTGCATATTGTACATATTCCGTTCGCGCGTAATTTATTTGGTTAGTTGTCTAGTTTGCGTATCATATCGGCACATATCGTGCTTTGGGTTTCATTTTTTTCGTCTTTTGGTTTGGTCACATTCGTCTTGTAAGTGTCCTTGTTTATTTCGCTTTGTCGTTTTCCAGTACTTTCACTCATACGTTGCAAGTTGTTTTATGCTAATTCGCGTGTTTGTAATTTTGTTATTTTCAGTTACCGTGTTCAACAATGTGTCATGTCAAGTTTATTAAATTTTCGATGAACGGAAGTTTGTTCTAGTAAAGTTTGAATACGAGTGATTAGCGTTTGCAGCTATACGTAGATTCAATCCATTTGAAAGCGAGTGATGTAAAACAAATTATAGCCACGGAATCGAAGACACCTAAACAACTTCTCTTATGTACGTGGAAAACTTCGAAATGCACAACTCGCTAAAATGTGTTCTTTTCATCAAAGTAAGCGGTCAGATAACAAGTGATACGCTGTGGAAGTAAGGTGAATGTTTTCTCTTGAGATGAATCGTCATTAAAGCACAAATGTATTGAAAATTATCCCATTATCCCAAAGTTGATTGAAGTTTTCATTACAGGTAAACTCTGTTGGTCGTTCGAGGCTAAGTTCGAGTTAGGTCAGGAAAGATGTATTACCATTTGCTGCAAACAAACTTAAGATAAACGACGTGTACTCCTTAGTGCAATTTAACGTAATTGTGATCGTCTCCTGTGAAACTTAATGATGCAGAGTATTATTATTATTTATTTCTCTTGAGCGGTTTCAAAAATAATACGCATAGTTACCACTTGTCCACATCTCCAAGATTATAATATTTCATGGACGGATCGATGGAAGGCAATTTGGCTATCAATTCAAATACTTGCCAAATGCTTGCATTTTACAGATTTTTTATGCCAAACGTTTTGGGCTATTTGCAAAGCAATATCGATCAAGCCACTTCAAACTGTAAATCACATGTCGAGAGAAGCTCAAGGCATTGAATCTACGCCAGAATTATTCTTCGAGGGGAGGGGGGCTTTTTCCTTTTAAAATTTACGCTGATTTTCCCTGCATTCATCTAACTGGTGTCGGATTTCAGTGGGAGATTTTTTTTTACCAATTATTTTGCATTATCAGCCAACCTTAACTTTCTTGTAATTTGGATATGGTACAAGGATCACACCACCATGGCAGGAGTGAACTTTAGCCTATCACGTGTAAAATATACTGAGGAGTAAGGCTTTTGTTTACACTCTTTAAAATATTGTAATATTGTTTCTTAGAAGTGTCAAGGATACAACGTACATAAGAAGGCCTTTCCTTTCCGCCCGTAAGGTGAGTCAAAATATAAACAACGAGTAAATATACTCAGCAATACTACACACATAAACGATTGATGAGCTAGTTATTTATTATCCAACTCTTGATTTTATGCGCATTTCTAACAAGGGGGAATTAATAGCAACTGTGCAATATCGTACGATATTTGTTCTCGACTCGCTCTTTATTTATAGTACAGTTGGACAATAATAACAATATTAGTCACCGTGGATCTAACAACATTGGCAACAATATTTTCAAAGAAATTCTAAACTTAGCACTATTAGTATTACAAATCGACGATTTCCCTTTTTATAATCTAATTACCCAGATGTTAGCCCAAATGATATCTTCACTCAAATTTCTACTTTCCAAAAACTATCGAATATAGTGCCTCTGACGTCAACCCTATCGACATCCTTTGAGGAAATAGAAGTAACGAAGAATATCATGACATAGTGAGAGTCAATGAAATGTAAATAAGAGGCCGTGTGTTTCTTTACTTTCCAAAAAAAGAAAAACTCCTAAATAAAGATCGAGTGAATCTATCTGGCTATTAAGCGATGGTCTACTTCAGTTTCTGTAACTAATGGCGAAGTTACCTTTTAAATTGATGCAGGCACAATTGATATGGTGGCTTTGTCTCTCTTTCCGGCATAGTTTGAATCAATCAAATCATACAGGGTTACCGGTAAAACTGTTCCCACACATAATTTTATAATCAGTAGATAAACAATTCCGTCGAACGACGTTTCTCTTTTCAAATCCCGATCCCACAAAGCTGTTTCGAAACGAGCGCGGGCCACTTCGCTGAAAATCAGCACCAAACATACCGTAAACAAAACGATAAAGAATAAGGACTTCTTGCTTTCTTTCCAGGCTTTCCACGACCATGACGAAAAACGCGACTTCGTCGAGGCGTCTGATTTTAATGAAGTGACTTCCTTGTTGTATTCAGCATCGTTTTTATCCAAGGCTACGGAAAGCAGGTAGAAGGTAAGACACATGGTTAAAATCAGTTCAACTTCTACGACGGCTTGAGAAATAGACGTTTGTGAGAAGCAACAGTGCCATAAGAAAATTGCGGAACCGATGAATCCCAGAAGAAGTAATGCGTAAACCAAAAGGTAAGAAAATGATCTCCGTTTTTCGTGTCCTATGGGATGTTCATAGTACACTGTTATGATTGCCGTCAGGTTACAAGTTTGGAAAAACATCATTGAAAGGGAAAGAACTCTTAAAACATTACAGGACTCTGTAGGTTGAATGAGGAAACCTTTCCACCACTCTGCGGTATCTGCGCCAAGAATTGAAACTTGGCAAGCGGCCTGAAGACTTGCTAATATCCGGCACTTTTGAATAAACTTCTGCTTTGTTTTGTCTTTAAAGCAGCTTAGTAATAGACGTCCGTTGAAAAAGACTGCGGCTAAATCCAGAATGGATATCAAAAGAAAAGGTGACACCGTTAAGGACATGATGCGAGAGCGACGTCTTCCTCTCTAAGTACGTGGCTGAAATAAGCTGTATTGGCTTGAGATCTGTACAAATATGATAAATGAGCGGTTACCTGATCATTATGCAAGGTTATATTGCGCTCCTGATTTTTACACGAATACAAATATGATAAATTAGCGGTTACCTGATCATTATGCAAGGTTATATTGCGCTCCTGATTTTTACACGAAAACGAACGTATAAATAGGTTGCGGGGTTTTGAAATTCACGACACTTCATGAAAAGTGTGAGCTGCCATGGTCTTAACCCTTTACCTCGCATGAGTGACCAATGTTGAGAGTAAAAATTAACTAAATCTAACACTCGGAAAGGCCTTCTTATGTACGTTGTATCCTTGACACTTCTAAGAAACAATATCACAATATTTTAAAGAGTGTAAACAAAAGCCTTACTCCTCAATATATTTTACACGTGATAGGCTAAAGTTCACTCCTGCCATGGTGGTGTGATCCTTGTACCATATCCAAATTACAAGAAAGTTAAGGTTGTCTGATAATGCAAAATAATTGGTAAAAAAAAATCTCCCACTGAAATCCGACACCAGTTAGATGAATGCAGGGAAAATCAGCGTAAATTTTAAAAGGAAAAAGCCCCCCTCCCCTCGAAGAATAATTCTGGCGTAGATTCAATGCCTTGAGCTTCTCTCGACATGTGATTTACAGTTTGAAGTGGCTTGATCGATATTGCTTTGCAAATAGCCCAAAACGTTTGGCATAAAAAATCTGTAAAATGCAAGCATTTGGCAAGTATTTGAATTGATAGCCAAATTGCCTTCCATCGCAAGCGTATCACTTGTTATCTGACCGCTTTCTTTGATGAAAAGAACCTCTCGCTTTCAAATGGATTGAATCTACGTATAGCTGCAAACGCTAATCACTCGTATTCAAACTTTACTAGAACAAACTTCCGTTCATCGAAAATTTAAGAGTGTGTCTCTGTAAGAGCGGTCCGGTCGATTTTGCTTGAGACACGGATTTCGCTCGTTTCTCGTGTGTTGTAAGACATTCATGTACCTATACTAAAACCACAATCAGTTTGATCGGATCTCTTTATTTTTCAGAGTTTTACGGAAATTAAATTTCACTCGAGCGAAGGCTTGTCGTGACACTTTTCAAGACTTTAATTTCATACAACTTTGGAGGACAATTTACAAAAAACTACGGAACTCAGCAAAAAACAAATACCACAGCCATGTATATTAACTCTATCTTATCTATCGAGGCGATTTTCGTAAACATCACGTGTCAATCAAGGAAAAAGGAAGACTTGAATGACACCTTATCGGTTCGCCTAAATCAAACACGCCAAAACCGATCAAATTCAAGGTAAATTTTTGAAAAAGTGAGGCGTTCTTAACTGATCCAACTAACATAGCTAGGAAGTAGGTGCCATAGAAAAGATAACTACAGAAAAAAACTTTGCGGCCCGACCTTTACGAGAACTTTATAACTCCGTGAACTTACCTAATTTTCCAAGTTTGGCCGCCATTTTGAGGGACTTGTCAACATGAAGCGTAACCGATATAAATCAAGCAGGTAAATCTAAAACCGTCAGAAATATATAAGAAAGCAATTCAAATGAACTTTACTTTCAATTCAAGCGGCAAAATTTAAAATTGTTCGTTAAACTTACAATCCTCATGCGACCATTTCTTTCAAAAATTCAAACACTACAACTAGTGTTCGAATTCCCCTCGCCGATTCCACCGCAAGAAATAACCTGTGCCACCCAAGCTTCGACTCGAACATGAAGTACGAATCAAGTAACATAACTGCTTCATCTTCGCGGCCATATCACGCTGGTATTTTGATTTTCCGATCGACAAGAACGGTGATCAGGAATCGATCGGTTTGTTTACCTGGTAAACGTGACCGCTGACCAGCCGCTAAGTGCAAACAGCATAGCGCGGGGTGGGGTGGTTGGCGGGCATATC